AATTGCATGCAAAAACAACTATCCAAGTGAATGATAGTGATGTCTGATTCATGAATGAATTGATCCTTTGAACTGGTTCTTTTCAGTGAAAGAGGTTTTCAAATCTAAAAGAATCAAATTATTTGTACATTCACGCATTCTAAAACTCTAAAAATATTCGACAAATGATCAGGAAAAAAACACTCAGCAACCTTTTTTAATTCACTTACATTTGCTTTAAGCAGACTATCTGTAGCCGTGTTGCCTTTGGGACCCCTCCGCATAGCGTAATCCATTGTATTTTTGCTGTGTGGATGCCCGGCTGCATGGTGGCTGAGGCTCACTACCAACTAATGATGGCTAAAACAAGGCGTCATGAACCATTTGCTGTATTTTCTGACCCCACTGGATTGTGCTCTCTGTTCAAAAAAGGACTCCAAGCATGTCCCAAAGTAAACCCAGAGCACCATCTAGTCAAAATCACAATCGACAAGTTAACAAGTTTCTCATGTTCAGTTGAAGCGGTTGCTCAGGAATTCTGGTGAGACTCATATGACCCATATGAGATGTTTATGATATAATTCAGGGGATAATACTGCTTTCAGCGCAGGGTAAGGTCCTTGCTAGGGTCATCCTTAAGAGGATCCATGGTCACGTGCTCACCGATCAGCGACCGGATCAGCCTGGTTTTACACCTAAAAAGTCTACCATCGACTGCATCCTGGCATTGAGGGTTCCCATCGAGCGCAAGCGTGAATATCGGCAGAGGTTCTTTGCAGCCTTAGTCAATTTTCGTAAGGCATTTGACTCAGTTGATCGAGTTGCCCTGTAGGACATCCTGAGACTTCACAGGATTCCCTTGAAGTTGCAAGACATCATGGCTGGCCTGTACTGTACACTGGTATTGTGAATGCTGTGCAGAGTGGAGGGAGAACCTCCCCATTCTTCCCAGTTGATTCTGGGGTTTGCCAGGAGTGTGTTCTTACTCCTACTCTGTTCAGTGCTTGTATGGACTGGGTGTTGGGCAGGGTCATGGGGTGCAGTAGTTGTGGGGCATCTGTTTCTGAAGAAAGATTTACTAATCTTGACTTTGCCAACGGTGCTGTGATCTTTGTGGGGTCAATGGAGGCTCTGATTGGGGCTCTCAAGAGACTGAGCGAGGAGTCTGAGAGTCTGAGATTGTGAATGCCCTGAATAAAGACCAAGATCCAGGCCTGTAATGACTTCTTAGGCACAGCCATCACTAGTGTGTCTGTCTGTGGTGACAACGTCGACCTTGTCAAGAGATCCACTTATCTCGGCAGCGACATTCATGTCTCTGGTGTTGGCTATTTTCACTTTGTGTTGAATGAGCGGTTGCTTGATGAGTCCCAAATGAGGCACATTACCTGCATTGTGAGAGAGCGTCAGTTACGGCACTAGAACCATGTGACGTGTTTCCCTGAGTACCCATGTAACACCTGGCTGTGGCCATCTCCGGAGTGTGGGACTGGACCTTCTATTTGTCTGGGCGGTCGCCAGCCGGGATCCAGTTTCACCATGTTGTGGGTGCGACGACATGCTGCATCAGCGCATGCTCCCCAAGCTGACCTGAAGATATTGTATGACTGATTCATTCAGTTCTGTTCTTGCCATTTTTCTATTAATTGCAAACGTAGTCACTGGCTCTCAAATGGATACTAAACACAAATGTTTGGTGTTTCATGTTATTGCAATGATGCTACTAATTAAAAAGCTCCTAGTGATGCTTCTCAATGAACATTTTAATTCAGAACAGCACTTTAAGAACTTTAATTTGGGTTTCAATTTGTTACTACTTTAAATGAATGTTTTAATACACAAGTACTGGCATAATACTGTAGCGTGTTTAAGAATTGTGTTACAGAGGTTGCTGGGAGGGATATTTTCTGTGGGCATGCACCCATCCAGGGGAGAGTGTGTGGGAGGAGCCAGAGGAACGATGTAGAATAAATAGAGAGGGTGTAGTGCAGGACTGTTCTACAACTGTTTCTTTTAGGAATATAAAAAGTGTGTATGGCGTGGCTGTGGGCCACAACAGCCAAATAAAGGAGTTTTCGGCCGCTTGCCTCCTTATTCCCATAACGGGAACTTTACAATACAAATCCACTCTTATTACATGTTTTAGTGTGAACCTTCAGTCTTTTGAGCACTTAACAAATAGAAGCAAGACTATTATTAAAAACAATACTGTAAGTCTAGCTATCATTATTTCATTCAAATTACACAGGACTACAAAAAAACATTTTTTTAAATCATCAGACACCAAAACACATTTTTCCAAATCAGTTTTTCATGCTGATTCCATTTGTTTTCAGTTTTTTTCCAAGTCAACTTTTTGATTTATGAGTAATGCTAGTTAATACCGTAATTGCAAGTATTGTGTACTAAAACAAAAGCATCACTGTAGTATAGGGTAAAATATCAAACAAACAGACAGTGGGCATAAAGTAATTAAAAAGTGTTTGTTAACCACCATTGTTTTTTCAAAAAGGCTTTGAGTTTGATTTTCTTCTGTACATCATGTCTGGATTGTCGTGGTACAGCATCCAGCAGTAGTTGGCCATCATGCTTTCACTGTAACCAGCTGCACCTTCTCCGTACTCCTCATCACCTTCTACAGAATCAAGACCATCATGTGGCGGTACAGGAACAGGCAATGAATCGTCATGAGGAACAGGCCTGAATGCAGAATCTAGGCTGGGATATACAATATTGTATTTAGTTTTAGCTGAGAATCCACTTGTATTTGTTCGGCAAAAGTAGCAGTTGTTGAGAGGGTCTCGCGGTTCCCTCTACACCATTGAAATCCAAATGGCATTGCTGCCTTTCGCTGATTTAGCCAGTCACGGAGACCATTTGAACAAATGGTACAGGTGACATGTGGAACCCAATATTGATCCTGGTCTTCAGGTGGACAACCAAAGTAAAATTTGCATATCTTCTTAAGATCTGCAGTGATTTGGTGATGTTGTGCTTTCGTTGAATGATCCACACACATGACAGAAACTGTCTGGATGATTAATACAATTTCTAGGAATGATAACAACTGAAACTGACGCTGTTTATATTCCAGATGTATATATGAAAGTATTGTGAAAGATTGAGGGAGAAGCAGGAGAGCGGCAGGGGAGCTGACGCTGAGGGAGCTTGCATGATTAAGACTGGTGGAGGTTTATTTTGAATATTTGAATATTTATTCATTTATTTGCAGACTCATGGTTCATAAAAAAAAAATCATTCAGACAGAAATAGACACATCAACAAGACAATAAAATACCCCTAATGTTTCAAAAGACAGTCAAACCAATGTTTCTAAAGTTCAGAGGTGTACTGTATAGCACTATATTCACTATTAGTCAATAATAAAATTACACTATTATCAGACTTATTCAGTCGACAGATAAATGAATACATAAAGTTCCTTAAAACAGCCTTCAACGTGCTGACACCAGCTGACACAAACAATTCACTTGCACGTGTCCATCTGGGCTTCTTTAGCAAAAGTCTTAGAGCATCGTTATAAGCCACTTGTAATCTCTGAAGGCTGGCTTTTTGATAATTCCACCATAAGTGAGCTGTGTACAGTGAGGTACAATATGATCGAAACAAGTTCAGTTTTACATCATCAGAGCAAAATCCAAACTTTCTAGATAGTACATTTGCTTGTGCTCAGACCTCGAGGACCGTGAGTTGAATAACCCTGTTCTAGAGCTTTGAGAACTGTCCAATACAGTCTACAATTGGTCAGAATTTACTATAACTTTCTGGAAGTTTTTTAAACTTTCTAGAATTTTCTGAGACTGTCCAGTAGCATCAATAGAAGGATAAAAGTGTGGGTACCTGAAACAAACATTTCAGTTTATAATATTGCAAGGTTACAGAATAGTGAATACCAATATTATTTTGGATGGCATCAAGAGGTTGCTTGCACCCAGCAGATGCATTTTGCTACATTTGTGAGAAGGGTCTGGCTGCAGACGTCCACTGAGGCTCACGTCCACTGAGACGCAGGAAGTCCACTGAGCGCCTGGAAATGACGTCACGCATAAAGTTTGTTGGATACTTTACTCACGAGCGGTAGCAACGCGTCCTTTGTTTAGCAAGACATTGGCGAAGGAAAGTAGAACGGTAAGTACAGTTTTAGTTGTTTAAATATGTTCAGTTATTAGTTCTTCAGAAAGGATGGGAACTTCTTTGTTTGCTATGTTTAGAAGTGGAATGGTTTTTGTTCATTATGTTTACAACTGTTGGAATGGTTTTTTTGTTAGCTATTGTTTGGCTGCTATAAAACACAGTCCGTGCTTAGGTTGTTGCTACTTTTACTTAATAGTTTAACTTATATTCATGTGCGGCTTACTCTGATCAGTTGAATGGTGTTTTCATGCCACTCAAAGGCATATATACAGTAAATGTAAGTTAGCCTGACTCAAATCGCTGTGTTGCTGAATTGTATTCAAGTAATCACACTCCTTCAAAAGCCCATAAATGCATACACAATCGTTCTCACGGTGTTTTGTTTTTCATTTTGACCAACAGATGCACAGGTCAATTTGGCGAAGGAATGCCGTGCCTCAGTTAGCAAGATGTGCTAACTGTTGCAATAGTTTCCATTGCCCTTTATGCCCAGTAACAATGTTTAAACTGACAACGTTACTGCGAGCCCAGGTGCATTTAGATTCACACGCAAAGAATGGAATTTCATTCCAAGGTATGTCATCTGTAGAAATTTTTGGTTTATAAAATCATATTAACCTAAGTAGATTTTCCTAAACTCTGGTGAATGAAGTAGATATGTTCTCATAACAGTGTTAATTTGATCGCATTATTTAAGACCGACCCGCAACTTTTTGTAAGTTGTGTTGTATAAAAGTCTGTCAAACTGACGATGTATTCATTTATTAAATTCCTTCAACAGAATTCATAATAAATGAATCACACAATAAATGAATCGCTGCTTGGGATGAATCCCAAGCAGGATTCATTCGCTTTTTTGACTCGACAAACCTTCATGGGTTATGTCGATTTATACAGGTTGTTCAACTGCAAAGTTCCTGCGCATTTGCGCATCAGTATTTCGCTTCCTTTGCCATATTGATACTAAATGTTCCACATTGGTTCATGCCATTCATAAACGGTGAATAATTGGACCGACACAATACCAGAGAAACTTGGTGTACTACCATAATTAAGTCAATGTGGAACATTTTTCTGCGATTGCAGACCAGGACTGTGTGTGTGTGTGTATGCATATACATGTGACAGAAGGTGTTCCGTGTGTCCATTAATTCTTGCATAAAGTTTTAATCTTGCTTGCATGATAAGCTGTAGTCATAATGCCGCTGACAATTCCAAATTTCTAATTGTAACAAACTGGCAAACCAAATTGCCACAGGAGACTGGAAGCTACTGAAAAACATGGTAAAGTGGATTTCAGCATTTTCTATTGATACATTTCTATTGGAAACAACTGTCCTTAGTATCATGCATTGTATTTTGCAGGATGTTCCGAAACAGATTGGATCTGTGGACTGTGGTGTGTTCATGTTGATGGTAAGAAGGACCACCTTGAATTGTCGGGTGTAACACTTGTGATATACTTTCAATTGATGTTTTTACCCCCCCTCCCCTCCCTTTTGTCAGTATGCACTCTGTATGGCCTTGGGGGAACCATTCCACTTTACTGCTGTAAGTACGTCATTAAGAAGATATTCTTTGCGACGCTGTAGAATGTTGCATAGTTATCTATACGAGAAAAAGGTGCCCTTTCTAACATTCTGAATGCATGGTTTTTGTCTTTTTATATTCAGTCTAACATGCAAAGGATAAGGAAATGGTGGTGCCTAACAGTGGTCTGGAAAAGTATGTATGGAAAGCATCGTGTTTTACATTGAGATGCATTCAGATGCAGAATCACGTGCCCTTTCTTTGCAGTGAAGGAGGTTTGTCAGATATAGAATACCGGGTAAAGCTCAGCAGGGAGGTTTTTTAAGGTGATATTCCATTAATTCATCAGTGGTAGTGCATTCAGCTAATGGAGAGGTTTTGCATATATGGGTATTAATAACACCATTGATGATACATTGAGATATTGAAACATTATGTCTTGGTAGTGTAAATGATGTGTACTTGTACTACTCAGACATAGACTGAGGAAGCTTCACACCTGCTGAAAGCAAACTTGGAGCCTCTCTCGAGGGTGAGACTGCTCTACAAAGTGTAATAGTGGTGTGAGTGTGTGTGTGTGTGTGTCCCTCATTTTTCTTAAGTGGTTTCCTGTTGATTACCAGCTGCACCTGATTAACTTATTCGATCCCTGATATTCACTTCCAATGTCATATAGGAGTCGCGCATCATGAGGGACCTCTGCAGTGCCGTGTGCTGGATTCGCAAGAGGTCTTGGAGGGTCAAAGTGACAACAGGAATGACCCATTCATGTTTATTTTTAATAATAAGGAGGACATAGAAACCTTGCTCTCCAATTGCGTTGATAGGATGGGTCTTAAAATTCATGCCATGTTTACATAAGGAAAAATTTGTATTCTTTTTATTCTGTTCCATATACTTTTTTTTTTTGTTGCACGTTTGTTCAAATTTATATATCAATACACTACAAAAAATGTTTGCCAAATGATCTATGTATAGTGATTTATTTATGTAGGACGTACATTATCTTTGAATAACAGAAGTATGGAGAAAAGCTCTGCGAGAAGCATAATTCTGCAGTCTTTAAGGCTTCAATATAATACTCTGAGGGGGGAAAAAATCTGGTCACCATTGACAGTCACAATCAGGACTACAGGTGATAAAATTTAATAAAATTGTGTACTTATCAAATTATAAGTTATGCAATTCTTAATTATAAGTACAAACTACTTTTA